TGAGAGAAATAAATTAAATCCAAAAAGCCATCGTAGTTATGACCTCCTTGAATGATTATTAGCAAACTGAGTAATTTAATGAAAACCTTGATATATATTTTGAAGCTTTTTAGGATAAGTGGACAGAAATACTAAACCTAGAGATACCTAAGTTCGCGAGGATGATGTGAGATGGAGTAACAATGGCACATATAGCAGTTGTCCCACTGCGTTCATTGTCTTCATCAGATTCATGTCTTTCACGCAGTTTACAATCTAATGTAAGAAAACCTTCTTTTATACCTTCTTCTAGAAGTGACAGTGTTGTTGCATCCATTACTCCAGGACAACGATTTAGTCTTTGAACGATCTAAACTGTTTCAATAAAAGCTTGCTTAATAATCAATTTCAGATTATAGATTTTGTAGACAACTAATCATTATGATAAAAATTGAAAATGATAAAATAGCTAACGTGGAATTTTTATAAAGTTTTTTGAGTTTTTTCATAATTATGAACTGCAGTTCAATATCCGCATAATATTTTAAAACTCAGTATAGATTAATTCAAGCTAATTACTTGCAGTACAGAAACCAAAAAAAGTTAAACATTTGTTAAAAATACTTGAAACATTAAACATTTCGTATGAAAAGTAAGAACCGAATCAAATGTTGACCTGGGCAAATTGAGATGTTGCAAGCAACGTTTTCAACAAATTCTCTGCTGAATGTTGGGCAGCCTTATTACCAGCATGACCATCAAAAACACCGTAAAATGACCAATTAAGAAATGGCGGCTCATTCGACATGGAAATTTCAACAACGTGTGCATCCTCCATATCAATACGCCAACCTTGCATTGAAGCCACAGCATAACGAGTGCCCTGTAATATTGCTTGATTATGCGACATCACTAAGTAACTGTTAATCTAGCAGAGAAAAAATCGACTAGTGAAAAGTAAATGAGCAGGTAAGTTGTCATTCTGATAAAATTCCTACAAGCATAATGCATAAATAATTCTTTGTATTTGCTATATTCGTCTAACGTAACGCTATAAAAAAACAGCGATACGCACTTAAAAACTCCTTTATCTTGAACTGCAATTAGAAAAAAAGATCTATAAAGTTTTTTGAGTTTCTTCATAATTATGAACTGCAGTTTAATATCCGCATAGTATTTTAAAACTCAATATAAATTAATTCAAGCTAATTAATTGCAGTACAGAAACCAAAAAAAGTTAAACATTTGTTAGAAATACTTGAAACATTAAACATTTCGTATGAAAAGTAAGAACCGAATCAAATGTTGACCTGGGCAAATTGAGATGTTGCAAGCAACGTTCTCAACAAATTTTTTTTTAAAGTCATTACTATGAACTTTCATAAATTATTTATGCTAACATTACCCTAAGCAGTTAAATCCATTTTGTAGAAGAAGCTTACAGTATCAAGACAGTAATTACAGAAGAATAGTAACTTAGAGCACGATTAACATCAGCATTGAAATAATGACTTTAAAAAAGTGAAATGAAGGATGAAAAGTAAAAACTTTACATGTGCAACTCCTTGATCGTTGTTTTTGTCTGTTTTAGGTTTATCAAGAAAAGCACCCATTGAATTTTGTCGTACAAAACCAGCTTTGTAATAGTAATCACTCGTATCAATAATTTCTACCTCCAAAGTACCATACAACAGCGGCAACCATAATAATAATAACACCGAAAATTTAAAAAGGTAAAAACTAGAGATCTCCTCAAGGACTTGAATCGGTCTTATACATACTTTTTCCTATCATATAAAATGTAGTACGATATACATTTAATGAGAAGATGCTAAATGCACTGAAAAACTTTTGCATCATATCTAAGTTACAATAAACTCACTACAAAAAAATACCGTATTCCACAACTATACATTTGAACACAGTAAAGCAATCAAAACAAGAAATTTTTTTTCACGCGATACCCTTTCTTTGTTTTGACATTTTTAAATAATCACCAACTACGCAACATTTCAGTTACATATAAAATGAATGCGAACCATAAATTGAATGCATTTTTTTAAGCAAAAATAATTGCTAAGCCTAAATTTACTACAAATCATTTCAAATGAATAAAATGATTGCATGACTAAAATGAATACAAAATATACAAATATTTTTGACATATATATAAGCAAAATTTAGGAATAAGATAATAAGTACAAGAAATCAAACGTAAGTAATAGTGTTGGTATTTAGATCACCTATTAATAAATATTCTTTATTTATTTATCAAAGACGAGATCAATGATTTTCATATTGATCCCTTATAAAGTAATGCAAATTAGTCCTATAACGAATCTTTCCCATATGTGTAAACCGTCATATACCATTTGTTAGTAGTTAAACTATTGGTGTGGGGAGTTTGGTGTGTTTTGGTAGATTTTACTTTGTGATATGGAGGTTGTGGGTTGTACAGGAAAAATTCCTTTAAAAGTATGAAGATTGAGAGTTATGCGAAAATATAACATAGGAATAAAATAGATCAGAGCACTGTTAGAGATACGACTCACTTTCGAGACTGGTGAAGGTGTCAAAAATCAAAGGGAGAAGAGATTGTAGCAAGAGGAGAGGAACTAGAAAATAAGGTGAATTGAGGGTGATTGTTAGATGAAGTTGAGATAGCGGAGCTAAGACAGGACAAAGTGATATCAGTAGTACGTAATACGTAAATATTCAGAATACATCTAATTTTTCTTCATAAATATTCAATTATATATTTCCGTCCTTATTTAATTAATTGACAAAAGGTGACGTCACGAAACCTGTCTGCTTTTTTACTTGTAAATGCAAAAAAAAACAAGTCTGCGTCATATCACGTATGTTTATCCTTCTAACAACGAGAGGTAACGATAGCTGTTTTTTGGAAATCAAATTTTGAACTAATTATTCTTCCTTTCCGATTATTATTAATAAGTTTAGCAAATTCTTTAGTAATTCTTTTTCATAATTTCTACGTACAATTAAGTTGAGAGCGTCGATCTCAAACGAAAATTTTGTGTTTAAAAAAATCAAATGTAACAAGTTTTAATCTCATATTGATCGGATTTGTTGTTTTAGTCTAGTTGTTTTTATCGAATTGATTATACTTACTTTGTAAATAATTCATTTTTCTTTCTGATTAGATTTATAAAACATGAAATTTAATGTAATGTATTTACGTGCATTCTTAAGTTGAAGTCTAAGTTAAAAAAAGATACTTTTCCGTGTTAGATTAAACGAAATTAAGGTATTTCTTTTTGATTTATTGTACATTTGCAATTTTATGTCTCTATTTGCTTGCGTATGCGTGAATATTCCATTTTTGTGCACATTTATAACTGCATAAAAAAACACGTCACATGACGTGGCACTAAGGTGCGAAATTTTCTAAAAGTTCACGAATCGCGAATAGTGTCTTACTTTGTTTTTGTCTTTTCTCATTTCTCAACAAAAATTTCTGAAAGAAAGTAGGATCATTTTACATGCAATCAGTAAGATAACTGACATTTGTTTAACAAGCAAGCAAAAGTTAAAATGTTTGACTCATAAGTGTGCGTGCGGAGTGTAACACATGCTGTTTTTGTCTGCTCAGAGTGATAATTGCACACGTGGAATCATAAAACATTGCGTTGGAGGTACATTTGACTATGACATAATAATATTTGGAATTTTGTTCTTCTTTCTTTGTTATTTGATTATATATTATATATACATAATCATTCATGTGTAACAGGTCCAAAAAGTATATATATTATTTTAATTTATTTATTGGATTATTTTTCGAATCTATAATTTATCCTTATTTATTCAGATGAGCATAACAAAAACCAAATTTTTTAATTTTGAAATAATTGCAACATTTAATACAATAAAATGCAAATCCTTGCAATATTCAAGGAAATATTTTGTTATACTTTTCTCGGTGTTCGGAAATAGTAGCAATAGTTTGAATGATTAAGAAATGCCATGTAACGACAATTATTAGCTTGAAAAATAACCATTTATTTGTTCAACCTATATTGAGAGTATTCTTTTGATAGCGGTTAAATTTTGTGCTGCTCATGCTTTTAGCTTTTAAATCTCCTATGAACTGGTGCTGATCAGTATTATAAGCTATCTTTTTGGTCACACAAATAGCTCGTAATGTATTTAATCATAAATTACGGCCGTGTTCAAAATCGCTTGAATGATTTTCATGATAAAGAGAATTCCAAATACGAACCAGTTTTCGTATAGGGTAAAAGTTGTAAATAATTTGAGATTAAAACAGTAATAATGGCAACAATGAATTATTTGGCAAAGACTTTATCGAATTCTTTCAGAAAAAGTTTATTCATTTTTGAAACAAAGTATTCACAATAAGGAAAGAAGTTTCTCTGATTTCATCTTAATTACTTCACAAAGCTAAAATTGCCAAGTCGTCCCTTCCTAGTCATTAAAACGCTTGTTAAAGTGAGTGCATTACATGAATCTTGTCAATATAAGGGTAAGAAGCCATTTTATTTTTTTCCACATTAACTGAATTATTCACGACTTAAAATTATCGCATTTTGTTTAGGTAGTTTCGTCAGGTTGTTTTATTAGGTAGAGAACATAATTAAGAATAGCCAGCAATTATTATAATTATTACTGTTATTACTACTATTGTTACTCCTAGTATTCTCAGTTTTGTTATTGTCATCAAGGAGGTGTCATACTCGAAAGTAGTCAATAGAATTACTTGCATCTCTAAATTACTTATCATTTGTATGCATTTCTCACTAGTTATCGACTTTTTATGAAACTTTCAAAACTGTTGTTCTCAATGGGCCTTTGAAGAAGTTTTGTGATGGTTGGCATTTTTCGGTTGTACGCAGGTATAAAATTGTCAAATGGTAAAGGGGACAATGTCTTGTCAGTAATAAGTTTAACATTTTCTGGTAGTTTTATAGCTGCTAATGGGCAAGCTGTTGTCATCCGGGGATGTTCCATTTCGTGGAAGAATTCATCTAAATCACCGCTTAAATCAGGAAGTGGTCCTCGGATATTTCGCTCCAAACATAGTTCTGGCAAGGCATCCAATTCATTGTCTTCAGCATTGTTACCTGTTAATAAATCACAGCAGCTTTTGATTATTATTGCACGGTAAAAGGAATTATCCTCATTTTGATTACAAAATAATTCAAAATAAATTTACTTAATAAATTGTTGAGTTGAAAGTCTTCAAAAAAATTGGCAAAAATGGTGAATACAAAGTATTTATATGGGAAGAATCTGTTCTATGAAATTACTCGATGAATTGGAACAGTATTTTAATATTAATAATTTTTTCTTGTTAACAAACCAAAGCTGAAGTCGGTACGGCTTTTTGGCTTACTGTTTTGAAGACCTTTGCAATTTTTAGCCTGAAAATGATAATTTTGAAAAATTTTAAACTAATTTTCTGGTTAATAACACTGAAATAATGCAGGGATAATGTTTGAATCAACTAGTGGAGAAAGTAATGCTAGAAACTTTGTTTTCAAGTTTTTTGCTAAAAAATCTTAGACTTATTTTCTCTTGGCAAATTTCGCATCATTTTTTTTATAAATGCAGTATTATCTCAAAAACGATCTGAAATTATTGCCTTATCAAATTGCAAGTGATAGAGATGAATTTCAATTTCAAAAAATATTGACTGACATCACTGACGAAAATGAACATACGAAGTGATCTATTTCTATGTGATCGCTTGATAGCGGTTCACTTTTGATATTCAGGGGTGATGTAAGTATAGGTGGTGTTGATTCTGGATATAAAAATTCGTTTTTTATTTTATCATTATTGTTTCTAAAATTATCTACTGACGTCTCGTGATCAGTAAGTGATATTGTGAAATCATTACGATTATCATAAATCCATGAACTATCACGCAGAAATATCGCCTCCATTTCGCTACAAAATTTAAATTAGTTGGAAGAATAATTTCCTTTTAATTTTTATCTTAATCGAAGCAAAAGTATTGTCTTCTTTGATTACAATGATTGAAGTTTGTACGGCGTGTCGAATAGTGAAAAATACAAAATTGATATAAAAGAAGGAATCACTTAACCGTAAACGAAAGAAATGAATAAACAAATGAAGCTTTCATTTTGGAAAAGGTATCACGACTATTTTTGTTCCTTGTTTTACTGCAGAAACTTACCTTAGAACTTGATAAGTAATATGGATGAGGAATCTTAGCCGTTTCTCGTCTTGTATTTGGTATCGGACATTATCTTTGATTGTAAAAACGGTATGTAACCAAAGCCATGAACCATTAGCTGCTTGTAAACGTAGTAAGCACATTACAGAACCGTCTTTTCGTTGAATCACTAAATATTTAAATAAATAGTATGGTAGCGCGCAGCGGACTGAGGTATTAAAGATTAATTATGCAATAAATATTGTTCGAGACAAATTATGTAGAGGTTAAATATCAATACAAATATCTGCAAAAGTTATCAAACTCTTCCATAAATTCCAGAATTCACGTTGTAGATTTCGTGTGTTTAAGACTAAAGTGATTAGTAGCTTACACATGCGATGTTTATAAGCCACCTCAAGAAGATGATCAGGATGTAGTAGTTGGTACCATGATTTATTGATTAGAGCTTGACTGTTATAACCCAAATAATATAGCATCCTGGAAAGTATTTTGCTATCGGTATCACTTGTGGATGCGGTAAAAGATTCTTTTGCTCAGCATAAATTTTACAAAAGTGAAAAATTTACTGCATATATGTGCAACGCTATAGTTACTAGAATTTCAACTAATTAAATATTTGAATTTAAAATTTTGCAAAATAAAATAGATATATAAGGAATGATGCAAAATTAACATGCAATCGATGTGTAAAAAAGTTAAATCCATTGAATGGACAGTAGAGAAAACAGCTGTATTCCCGATGGATAACATTTCTGCATTTTCTGGATTGATAAGCATTTCACAGAATGCAGCAAATAATGGCTGAATTTGAAGTGAAGCTGTAGATAAGGTTTGATATGTTTGATAATATTCACTAGCGTGTACATAACGACCTTTCATTAGAATATGCTAGAATGGAATAGTTTGCAAAATCAGTGATAGATTGATTCATAATGAAAGATCAGACCAGTCCTTATTTGTCTTTGATCTAGTCGACAAGTTTTTAGATTGACTTTATATTCTATTCTTCTAAGAACAACACTAAAAGTTTAATTTAGTTAACTAAGTCATGTTTCACGTGGTTTTATTATTTCGTCATAATTAAACGCAGCGTTAATTAACATAAAGCAACAATACTGTCATAAATTTACTAATATGCAAATTAGCATTTACAATTTTTGACATAAAAACCTTGTGATATTGGAGTTGCCTTTTTGCCGTGCGTGATAAATTCATACGGCAAATAAACATTCTTTCATCCGGAAATATTTGCATATTGGAAGCAGATGATGGGCCTGTCATTAATCCTTTTTGTAATCGTTCATGATCTTGATAATCAATTAAATCATAGATAGAATCACCTTGGCACATAATTTCTGCCTAAAAGTTATAAGAAAGCAAGAACACTGTGATTACTTTCTGAGAATGCTCGCATACTGATAAAATGTTTTAATTTTTCTTCTTTTCACAATTAAATAAATTAGATTTACATCCACTCAAATCAAATGATGATAATACGATACTGATTAAGTTAAATTTGAATACTGCTTTTAATAACAACATTTCAGTGAATTAAAAAAATTTTGAATTGAAAGAAGAAAAGAAATATACATTTCAAGTTCGAATTTTTACCAAAATGTATACAATTCATAAATTCACTCTTAATTCAAATTTATCATATTGAGATTAAATTAAACAGTATGTATGAAAAAAGTTTCCAACTTAAACATTTGCATAAGTGTGCACAGAAAGTTACCACGGAATGGCCGAGATAATCACTTGCATTATCAGATATGTAAACAATTTTACCATATTTGGTTATCATTAACAAAAAACCGCGTAATGCGCGGAAGCCTTCTGATTGTTTCAAAAGAGGTCGCAATGATGGCTGCATATTTAGGCCAATTACTGGAATTTAAAATTTGGAACAAAAATGTAATTATTATTTTACATTACTTTAATGATTACTTGTGAGATTTCTGGCGGCATAATGACTTTCTGTTAAATTGTTTGCTTTTGAATTTACTTTTCAACTCAGTTTTAAATTAACATTTTCATAGAAACTCATTTATTACAGATAGAGCTGCATTATTTCTGTATTCCAATGTTTAACACAAAAAGTTTCACCATGTGGCAAATAATTTTGCTTTCTGATATAAATGCAAGCTAATGACATGACTTGTAGTTGAAACAAGCGCTCCTTCATTGAATCTGACAATGGTAAAAGATCGCGCAACTTCTGAATTTCCATATTGATTTGATCACGACGATATTTTGATGCACCGCGCGTTGATCTATCATTGATAATTTAATTATGCAAATTACAAATACAGTGTTTTTTGTTGTGATTTATTTAAATTAAGCAAGCATAATATTTGCAAAGTAGCAAACACAGCAAGATTTTATGTCTTGTCATATGCATATTTTACAAAATACCTTACAATGATCCCTCAGAAATGTTTTTATAGATTCTAAACTTTTATTTTTTGATAGTTTAATTGTCAATTATTTGAAGACAAGATTATATTAGCTTCTATTTCAATACGAATTTTGCGAATTCTTTTGAAAATATTTGATGATTGAAATGAAAAAGATTCTTTGAAGACAAAGAATTACACACTTGGCTTTGAAGCTTTAAGTTTATTATCACAATTTTTTTGATGATAACTTTACCTTCTATCAAATTATCAAGATAATAACAAACTACTGAGTACAAACTAAATGACTATAAACTAGCTATGCATAATAAGTCAAATAAGGTGCAGTTAATTCCTATTTGAACGATCAAAAAACAAAAGTACTGAAATGAATAATTTAAATATAAGAATTTAATTTGAATTTTTCCTTTGAAATTCCTTACTATTTTAAAATATTTGTAAAATAATTTTAGATTTATTTTTGACAAACTTTTTTTGCAAAATTTATGATACACAATAGAAAATGTCTCGAAATGAGAGCAATAATCAAAGCATAAGTGTCGTTTATTTTGGTAGAAATATTAGGTGCAAATATTGAGAAGTATTGAAAAGTAAACATACAATGTTGTGACCATTCTCGAAAGACAAGATTAATTCAAAATTTTAGTAAGTAAAAAGTAAATATAATTACCGAATAAGTATGGTATACTTTCAATCCATCCGTTCACCTCAATTATACAAACTGTTTAAATGACTATAAACTAGCTATGGATAGTAAGTCAAATTAAGGTGCAGTTAGTTCCTATTTGAATTTTTGTGGAAAATGTAATTTGAATATGAAAATGTTATCATTTTTGAGAAGGAATAGACAGAGTAAGATAACTTGTTCAGGCATTACTGTTATTTCTCGCGTTGAAGCAAGTTTCCTTGTTAAAGTTAGCAACAATAAGTAAGTACTAATGCAACAGAAATCATTATATATATAAAAATTTGATAAGGTGAAAGTTCATGGCACTGCAACAAGACAAATTGCTGCAGAATCAAATTTACCAAGTATGAGATCTTATCTACTCTATGACTTTTTGAATTGCTATTACATAAAGATTAATTATAATTAATATACTTGTAATGGCAAAATTAAAAATGCGTGAAGCAGAATAAAGTCAAAAAAGGCTTCATGAATTATTTATGAACTTTTAAGCGATTATTTTTAAATGGTTGTCCTTTCTTAATGATAAATCTTATATATTCTTGCGTTTTTCGCGCAGTTTTGTTGAAAGTTATTATAAATATGAACATGATTGAGACAGAATAGTTTATATTCAATCTCGATCAGAAGTGATACTGTAAACTTACCCGTTAATTCGAGTCTGAATCATATTTTTGTTGGTATTTTATTTAGTTTAGTTGTTTTAAATTAATGTCATCCTGGGGACAGTAAGCTTTTTATGCAACTATTAATTAGCACAAATTCCAGTTTTCAACGATAGAATAGGACTTTGTTTCATTTTGTTGTTGAAAACGAATATTTTTGAGATAAAAATAGAAGTGTAAGTATAGAAAGACAAAATTTACAATAGCTTCATCACGAATTTCCGTGACAAAAATGCGGAAAATACGTACAAGCATACCTGGAAGTATTTGAAGATTGTCGTTGTATCGTACTCATGTAAAATAATCTGAGATTTTCAATCAAAAGCTACCAGTGACCACTGCAACCGTCTCAAGTATCAAACACGAGAGCCGGTTCTTTGCAACTGGTCCTCAAACTTCGAATGTTGATAGAATCGGTGTCGTGACCCGACCTGATTGTCCATTCGTTTAACTTTAGTACTCGAAATACTTTGAAAATTTCCCTATAACAAGGATATGATGTCATCATTGGTCAAATAAATTAAAAGTTTACTTTAGTTAAGTAAAGGTGAAGAAAGCAAAGACTAAAGCACTAGCAATAGTATTGTATAGTTTAGTGGTCAGTTTTGCTTAAGACTTTACTATTTAAATCCGAAGTTTGCTTAATCTCAAGTTGTGCAATTCTATATTGATGAAATTGTATTTTGTACAGTAATAATGAAAGAAAAGTTTAATATAGGGAAATGGTCACTTTTACATACAAATATATATACATAATTGCGTATATATTTGAGAATGTAAACAAAAAAATTTTCAGCACAAAGTACGGAGGACTTAAACAAATTTTTGAATAATTCTGTTCCGCGTTGAGGTTTTTTTTTCTGAATGTAAAGAACTATTCTTTGACACAAAAGAATTCATCAGAAAATACAAAATACAAAATACAAAATAAAAATTTGATATTAAATTTGAGTCTGACGAAAAATTCTGAATCATTTTTCATATTATTAAGTTAAATGTTCCGTACTGAATTCATTTCCATTTTAATATAAGAAATTGTTTAAAAGAAAATATTTTAGCTTTCACATCCTTCTATACTTATTTCAATGATGAATGTTAGCCGTGTATTTTATTTTAAACATTATTTTGAACGTACAACAGGAAATCGAAAATGTTCATACCAATAACAAAGGATAACCTTTAACCTATCTCAGCTTTGTTAAAATTGATTAATCAGAGAAAATTCATAAAGGACATTTCTTAGCATGTTTGAATCTTTTATTGGCAAATTACTGAACAAATGATTTCAGAAATTTAAACAAATTTTACATTTGAGTTTTAAAAAATTTGAGTATATTAGGAACTTATTCCAAAAAATTTTTAAATTGGTAATTAATGACCAACGCCTTATAGGTCATAAGTCAAGCTCATCATATTTAAAATTTCGAGGTAGTTTATAACATTAAATAATCCATGTTCTAGAATTATTACTTCAGCGTACCTTCCTATTAATTACAGCAATTTCTCCGTTAGATTTTTATTTTAATTAACAGTTTGTGACAAGATTTAACTGTTGCATTTCGCGAATTTAAGGACGTAAGTAATTTTGAACTTATCCGTTTAAATTTTGGTTTTTCCAACGAAATTCTGATGCATTTTGTAAGCATATGCCTTTTTTAAGTGTCATAAATCCAATCATCTTCTGACCTTTGTATGTATCTGTCAGGAATCGGTTTCAAAGTTTCAAACGTTCGCGAGTATTAGATGTACGGTCTGCTTGTAACAGGCAGTCAAAAACAAATGATTTGAGACATCAAGTACTTGACAGAAGACAAAGAAATGCAGCAAGTGATGCGATTTTGCGCTTCAAGGCGGTTATTAGTTGGACTGGTGCAGTCATTCAAAATGCCTCTGAGATGTTACCCGAAATTCAAGCGAAGGAAGTTCGTTGAACCAGTTGTAGTAGAGAAGACACCGAGTAAGAAGAAAACTGCAAATATTTATTATGATATGAAAGTTGGGTAAGCTTTGCTTTGTTTACTTCATATCTTGCATTTAATGCATTTCTCATTTTGTACTGAATTCTTTTGCAATTTACTTGTAACGGAAAGTATTATTTTGTTTCTTGGGTGCTTATAATTTCTCCAAAATTGTTGTAACTTTGAAACATACAGAGTTCTTTGTGACATTAAAAGGCTTTTAAAATGTAAAATGGTGCTGACGATAAGTTTTCAAGATTTATCAATATTATCTACTAATTTTCATGAAGTAATGTGGCGTCTCTCATCTCTAACTGTAACGTTCAAGATTGTATTAGTTACCTGGTTGAATACAAAAAATCTAGGCTGTTGTTCACCATTTATGATTTGCAGAGAGTTAGCGGAGGTAATACAAAGTACCGAGCAAGAAGTTCTACAAGTACTCAAAACTCTAAACAAGCTGCCTGAAAATAACAATGAAGGTATTATCGTCATTGTATTTTAGAAACTTTATATTTCGAACTCATGTACTGTTTTCAGTAATATCGAAATATGTGTTCTGTACTTATTTTAGCACATTTTGTGCTCTTTTACACATTATTTATCACATATATTCTTTAGCCTTAGATATGTCTCGTATTGTAAGTGTTGTTGGTGCTTTTGGTTTGAAACCAAAACTAATACAACGCCCCCGAAGTGGTGCAGAACAAGATTTTGAATTAGATGCGTTTCCACTGTGAGTTTTGTTTTTTTCCGTCGGAATGCATTCATTTATTTTTTGTCAGTTCTTGGGCATTTTTCGATTTTTTTTAGTACATAACGAATGTTTCATATCGAACTATTGAGAACAAAATGGTCATATAATAGGCATAATAGTTCACTGTTACCAGGCCGTCTCCACCGGAAAAAGAGCTGAAAAAACGTGCGCCAGTAATAGCTATTATGGGTCATGTTGATCATGGTAAAACGACTCTTCTTGATCGTTTAAGGCATTCTCAAATAGTACAAGGCGAATTTGGTGGTATCACGCAGCATATTGGCGCTTTCACGCGTGTGAACTTTTATCCATAATTTTGTTGTGATTTGTGACAGGAATTTCAGCGTTTGGAAATGGATATATAATTAATTTTTCATTTATCTTCTATTTTTGAATGTTCTCATTTAAGTTTTTTTAATATAGAAGTCTTTAAATTTGATTTAAATTGCAGTTAAAGACAAAGATTGTGAGCTGACTTTTTTGGATACTCCTGGACATGCGGCATTTGCTAAAATGCGTGAGCGTGGAGCGCATTCTACTGATATTGTTGTATTAGTAGTTGCTGCCGATGATGGGGTGAATGAGCAAACTGTTCAGTCCATTAAGTTAGTCATTTGGAAATTAACTGTGATTTGTTTATATGCTGCTGATTAACTTATAATATTAGAATTACATATTTTTTTAGCGCTTTATATATTGGTGTTGAAATGAACTAAGTTAAGTTGTTTAAAAATTTCTTCGTGTTTTTTTTCAGAATACCATCTCTGTTGAATTCTTTATTATTTTCAGCTATGCAAGACATGCAAACGTGCCAATAGTTGTTGCAATCAATAAAATTGATAAAGCAAATGCTGATCCTGTGAGTAGCATCTCAAACGTTTCCTAATTCAAAATTGTATTCAAAACATTCTCAATTCTAGCTCACAGTCGTTTTGATATTTATAATCATTAGGTTCGCGCCAAACAATCACTTGCAGCACATGGAATTGTCGTGGATGATCTTGGTGGTGATGTGCTTTGCGTTGAAATTTCAGCGCTGCAAGGAAAAAATATGGACCAGCTCAAGGTCCCCGTCTTAAATCTAATGTTTTCTACCACTGATTAACTTGTGAAGAAAAAAGCTCTTAATGAACAGATTTTCAGGAAGCTATTTTGCTACAGGCAGAAGACATGAATCTGCGTTCAACTTGGAATGGATTTGTAGAAGGAATTGTAATTGAGTCAAAATTTTCACATGGTTTGTTTTATATTATGTAGAAGTTATTTACATATTTAACCATGGTATTATTATATCGAAACAGATTATCAGTTGCTGATATCTCTGCAATCTTTTGTGAACTAGAGTAAGCTTGAACTAGATATTCATACCAAGTAGCTTAGATCTCATGATTTTACGTATTATGGTGAGTGAAATTGCGTTATTGACATAAGCAGCTAATAGATTTGAAACTTAAGTATTATCATAATTTTTATAGTTTGAGATAAGACTGGTAATATCATGAATTTTTTCGGAATATTTATCTTTATTAGTAATATTTCAGGTATTGGAAAAGTCTGCACTATGATTGTTCAGAGAGGAACTCTCATGAAAGGTACAGTGCTTGTAGCTGGAACATCCTGGGCTAGGGTTTGTCGTTCACATGTTTTGTTGAATTACTTCTATTGTGTAGAATTTTGAAATGAACTTTTCGTAAATTTAAGCAGTTATCAGTGCTAAATAAGTAATCACGGTAATTATGTCACTTCATCATGAAATATTAGAAAATCTAAACATGAGTCCCTTGCTATTCGTTTGCAGGTTCGTTCAATGCATGACGAATTTGGTCACGATGTTGTAAAAGCTGGTCCTAGTACTCCTGTCGTTGTGGCTGGCTGGCGAAACAAGCTGCCGTTCCCAGGAGAACGAGTTTTGCAGTTAGAAAATGAGCGAAGAGCACAACAAGTTGCTTTATACAGATTAGAAAAAGAAAAAAATACTAAAGTGGAACAAGATTGGGTAAGTATTGCAATTGGCTAACCTTTGCACGCTGATAGTAATGCTAGAGCAAGAGCTGGATAGTAAAACTAGAGGTTCAGCAGGATTTTTATTAATCTTATATTAGTTTTTTTGGTTGTAGAAATTAGCTGAAGAACGAATAGATGAAGAAAGAAAGGAATATTTGGAAAATCGGCGTAAATTATTGAATGTTGGTATACGAGGAGGATCCACGTTACGTTTAATTGTCCATAAAGTACGTTAGATTATAGTCGTTACATTTATCTTATTTCATATTTTTTATCTTAAATTTGTATAATAACAAGGGATTTTGCTTAGGAACAGAAATATCAAAAAACTGTTGGAAATCAGGAACCGCGTATAAGAATAATGTTGAACAGTGATGTTGATGGAACACTGGAAGCCATTTTGAATGTGCTTGACTCTTACAATTCGGAACAAGTGGAACTAGATATTGTCAAATTTAATGTTGGACCACCAAGTGAAAGTGATATTGAATTAGCGAAGGACCTAGATGGTTTATTTTATCATTTTCACCGAATTAAAGAGAACTAATTATCCTGTTATGTAGTGGAATAATTTTTCATTAAAATCCAGACTAAATAATGTATAGTGTACTACTTATAAAACCTGAGTCATCTAGCTTTTTGTCACGCATAAACGCCAAAGAATCTAAATGACTTAAAGATGAAATCACTTCTTATTGTGGTAATTTGACCACCTTCGTAATCTACGCCTAAATTCATAGCAAATTAAGATTTTTTTTAATTAATATGATTTTTAATTTCGAAACCTTTGTTTTTATTGCTTACAAGCATATGCTATCAACAAGATTGAAAATTTTATTTTCAGCCCTAATTTATTGCTTTAATATCCAAGTGGGATCTGGATTAAAGAATCTAGCTGAAAGGCTTGGTGTGAAAATCAATCAGTTCAATGTGATTTATCGTTTGGTCGAAGATTTGAAAAATCGGTTATCCGACTGTCTTCCAGAAGAAACTACTTTTGAGCAAGTTGGTGAAGGGCATGTTATTAGAAATTTTTCTGTCATTGTTGAAAACAAGAGGCAATCAGTTGCTGGTACGCTGGTGGATTGGGGGACAATAAATAAGTGGGTTTTTTCTTTTTCAACTTTAATTCGATATCTTAATTTAGGCTATGTATCTTTTACTTCTATAGTGTAAAGTAATATGTAGATTTTTTTGGTTGGTTCCTTTCTTCTTTTTTCTATTCAATTATCGGGAACACAGACTGGTCTGAAATCGTCACTTTTCCAATTTTCTGCAGCACTTATCTTTTTTTAAAATATCTATTTCAGGATGGATTCATTACGAGTCCTTAGAGGTACTACTGTTGTTTATGAAGGACCCATACGTTCAATGCGTATTGGAACAAAGGTCTTTTCCATTTACTGCATTTTTTTGTTTTAATGTGATTACTTGTAGTCACAGTCAGAACATAATCACTCTTCTTAATTTCTCGGTATATTATATCCATATATTACACATTATTGACTGTAGCTGAAAGAAGAAAAAGAATCAGTCTGTTTGCAGGCAGTGACTTCAGCAAGTAGAAACGAAGAGGTGGGCATTGCAATACCGGACGAAAAACTCATCTTCAAAGAAGATGACATTATTGAAACATATCGAGAAGTGAAATTTCGCCGTAAGATTAACTGGGATCCCCCAGGGTTTTAGCTTTTGATGACGTTTGAATTCAAGTGATCGGGAACCGAGATGTCTGCACTTTGTAAGATAATGTCTCATCTTTGAGGTTGATATTTTGCTCAAATCTCAATTTTTGCATAAAGTCTTTGACAATGACATCTTGCTCAATACTTGCATAATAGTCTATCAAATTGAATATTGTAAACTATTGTTGAAAATCACCACATTTACGGTTGCTAAAACTTAATAATTTCGTTCAAGTCCACAATGAACTTTATATTGGAAACACTTTGATGTGAGACTGAGGTGCTTAATTTTAATCTTTATTTTTGCAATTTGTCAGAGTGAGAGCCAATTTTGATGAATGAAATTGGCAAAACATTTTATACATCATACCACAACTTAGAAAATATGGTTGAACATGATAAAGGCACTTACGACCGCTTAAATTAACTATTAGTATATAACTACGATATGGATATATTCAAGTACCTTTAATTCAGTCATTTGCACAGTCATACATAAAATTTAGACATTTGCAAAATTTCAAACATAAAAAATTACATAACGAGGAGTATATCAGGGCTTGTAACATTTTGAAGAAATGTACTGACAATTTGAAATTCAAGTTTTGCGAAGTACAAGGAGCTTTAAATACTCATACGCTTAGATTTACTATCATTATATATTTTCTGAAACACAAAGAGCTTTAATCATTAGTAGGAACTGGGACTTATTTTTTCTAATTGAAATGCATGATTTCATAGTCAATGTTGGCAGAGCAAGAGGCATACTTTTTTTTTTCAGTTGTATTACTGATGAAAACAAAGGATAGTTCTGAGATGCTATACAAATAAAACAGGCATTTCATGATTTGACTTATTTTTAATCGTAGTGGAACAGATTTCGTGAAGTACTGTACTAAACAAAAAAAAATTAAGGAACAAAGAAGGCACAGAATTACGAGAATTAGCTTAGAGCAGGCTAAACAAGTATTCATGAGTTTTGATTGAGAAACATGAGATTCACAATATTTCCTGCTTCTAGAATCAAATCTCTGAACGTCAACATAAGGAGTGCTGGAACATTTAAAATACAGTAAAAAAGCTTGGAAAAGTAATATTCGTTCGTCACCATAGCTTCGTACTGGATCACTCAATTCTGCTTCGCCATGTTCTGCTGCAATAAAGCAAGAAGCTGTTGCCCATGTTGTTGGAAAAATTCTGCTGGATCGACATTCACAGTATTGCTAGTAAAATTAGTAGCAGTACCAACATTATTCGCAAGCTGTTGAGAAGGTGCACTGCAAACGAATACAATATATGAAAGCAGTATAATTACGGTAAAAATGAATTTGAGATGATATTTACGTGGCAATCCATACTCATTTCTTTGCAAAAATAAATAAATCCCAGTTCCACATTTTGATTTTTTCACATTTTTGAAAACAAAAATTACCGTTGCCCCAAAAGGCTATTTGGGCTTTCACTATGCCGTCCGTCAGGATCATAACGGTCATCACTACATTCCATCCGTTTTCGACCTGTTCGCATAGCTTGATTGAGTAAACGTAACATTGTTTCTCGATCATCTACGGGTAGATCTGGAGATGTTTCAAGCTGAAAAATACTTAATGTAAGAAACGAATCATCCTTAAAATTAACCAAATTTCTTTTTTCTTGACAACTTTCAGAAGACAGAAATATGTGGTCTATTTCAAACTCATTTAATACAATGTCAATTCTACTAATTTTCAATGTCAAATACATTAATCGTATATGTTTTCAAACGAATTTTTACAGAGCTAATCAAATATTTGCATACATATTATGACCTGCAGTTGATAAAAGTAAGCTGTAGACGAACTATAATTATTGGGGACGTGAACTGAAAGCAACAAACATTTTTTCATTTTTCAACCTATATGGGATGAGAAAAGTTATATTTACCAGCTGACGAGCTTGTAATACTTTGTCCAAAACCGTATTAAACTGCTCCAAGCATTCAGCTATGTGCTTGGCCATTTCTGAAAAAAAACACTATAGTAAGAATACTTTAAGTCAGACCATAATAAAAGTTATTTGATGCACACATTACTACTTAATATTAGCTGAAATATCATACTAAGATAAATATAGAGTAAGCTTTCAAATAACCAAATTTGAGAAAGATAAAAATCAAAAATCAGTAATCATAAAATATTTGAATGATCTGAACTAAGATATTTAAATGATTTTTCGATGATGTTACAATTTCTGTCCATATTTCAGGGATGACGCTGAGAAATGGACAATAAGTACAATGAATAAGAGCTTAAATTTTAGCTTTTAGTAATATTTAAGCATAAACCTAAATTATCTATATCGAAGCATGGTTGCTGATCATCAAGAAAAAAGCAAACAACAAACGCTGAAAGCAAAAAAAAAAAGGGAAATAAAAACAACCAAAATAAATTCACCATCTACAATACGTTGCTGCCCTTTGGAATAAATCTTAGAATGTCGCCACTCATAAGTAATTCTCATATTTTTAATAACAGATGAACGAGTAATAGAAAATAATTTGTTGATACCGTTAGTAGAATGGTGTCGATGAAGGCTCTTTTGTTGAGATAGTTTGTTTAAGGACGAATAACCATAACCACTGACCCTATCCACATTATTCCAAGACCAGTTTTTGTTGGCTGTAGATAGAGCAGTTCCATTCCTGGTGGCCATCTCAAGTTTTTTGTAGTCTAATAAATGACGAGAACGATGGCGTTGCAGAAATTCTCGAGTTACTGTTCGATGATCAATTTCTGCTCGATTTTTACCTTTTCCGCTGTTTATAGCATATTTCTGCTTGCTAGTAATATAGCTACTATCCTTATCACCAACGTAAGCAGCATGCTTTGCACCATTGCACTCCAGACTTGTTTCCTTCTTATCAGTAGTAGAATCTTCATGCTTCTGGTTAACAATGAAACTATAAGTATTACAGACATCACTGTCATTATCAGTGATATTATCAGAAAACGATTCCACAACAACAGTAATATTTTGATCTTCACCAGATAAAGGTATACAACTATTTTCTTGTTTTCGTTCTTGTAAGCAAAATTCACCCTCATCACTTTTGCGTGACCTATCGGCATTACATATTGATTCCGCTACCTGTTTCCATGAGTTCTGCATTCGTAACGGCGTACCAAAATCAGCTGTCGATAGATAAACAGTGTTTGATCTATGTTTGAGTTGCAAATTATTCTTTTCCACCCTATTTCCAGAAACATTCTTTGTATGAGATCTCGGTAAAAGTGACATATAATGAAGCTTCTTATTGAGATCAGGTACAGAACGAGAAAAATAACACCGCTCAAGATGTTGGCTACATTTATTACCAACAGTTCTTTCTTTATTATTATTGCCGTGATCTAGTCTCGACAGACTCAACCAAAAGTGGCTCAGAGGTGCAAAAATATTGTCAAGACTTTCTCTGCTATTGATGACCTCAGGCGGGCTATCCGTGAACGTAACACTTCGTCGCTTCATCTTACTTTAAATAAATAAATGATATTTGAGAATGAAAACACAGACTAGTGCTTACATAATATAAAATTCATTCTCGCAGAGATGAAGTATAACAGTGATAATACAAGAGATGTAATGAAGTTGAGTAGGTTTGTCGAATGATGTGTCACTGTTTGTCATAAGCGATGAATATTAGTTATCAACAAATAAGGAAAGGATGGTATGACATTTACAAATTTAGACCATTCAGTCAAATTCTGACTCAATAATTATCTAATCGTAGTGAAAGGTCACACAACTAAACAAGTCTTATTGTTGAAAGTCGAATACTTCTACTATATATATCATAACACTATACTATAGACAAATTAAATCTGCACAAGTGTAGGTAAGGCAAACATATGAAATATATCACATAACCTCATTCACCACTGGAAAAGGTTTGTGATAAGGAAACAGAAAAAGAGAGCACAGAACTACCTAATTCTAATTTATTATGCGAATAATATAAAAACTATTATTATTACTACTCATGTGAAGATGTATGCTAAACTGCAGCGTGCCAAAAAAAGCAGACAATTTTTTGTCTTCAAAAATAGAAGTGAAAACTTCTCGCAAATTCACTTTCTCATGAAACTGGAATACTCATTTCTATGGTACAAATACAAAAACGAATAAAAAAGCTGTCAATCAAAGATTAGAAGTAAATAAGCATTTATAGCAATTTAGTTTGAAATGATACAATAATAATTCAAGTTAATACTTCTGCAAACACAACTTAAGTCCTAAATTTGTGCGTGCTGTCTACAATAATTTGAATAAATCTATGTTGCTTGCAAGCAACAAAGAAGTAACGAAACTTCTATACAGACTGAAATCATCCAAAAACTTGAAATTTGAGAGTAAAAGGAAAACAAACAGGAGATGAATGGGAACGAGAGATTTATTTTATAGCAATGGTTTTTTGCCACATTCCCTTGAAGCCTATTTCTTACACTATTACTATCACCATCCTATTACTACTGCTATTACTATTACTATTACTATTGCCACACCATTATTACTAGTACCAATAATACTATTATCAAGGTCATTTTCAAGCACCTCATCCAAATAATTTCTACATATTTGATGCAATAAATATTTCTAAAAACTTGTACTCATTAAAATTTAGAATTTGCAGGACGAGATTTCCAATAAATTACTTCTATCCATGAATATTTTTCTAGATCAGGTAATGTCAACCAGTTATGAATATCATTTTGAATTTCTCTTCTTTGTTTGCTCGCAAAAAAACCTATCCACAGAGTAAAACATTATACAAATTACTCTCCAAACTACAAAATACCGTATGATTATAATATTAATCTGTCCACTGAATAAGTATAAATCAAAGCATTCTTTGAACACTAGAAAAATTCTTAATAATGTTTGAAAAATTTGCAGTGTGCACAACTGTCTTCGCAATCTCTCAAGTTCTAGATAAAAAGGAGTTTTAGACTCATAATTTTGACCTACGCGACATTAATTTATAGACTGAAACTAATTAAACAGGTCCTCATGATTTATTTGAATAAATAACAATTCAAAAATTTAAAAAAACTTACGCTTGGATTGATGAGTTTTGCCGTCAAAGTCTTGGAATGCTACCACTTCACTTGATGGTGTTGAATGTCGTAGATACTCTTCGCTACTCATATCAGGTGCCACAATATCCTCACTACAATATTCTTCACTAAATATTACTAACAACCATTTTATCAAATCTATACATGGTTCATGAAAATATTTCTTCGTCTCTGAACAAATTACAGGTCAAGAAATCATAAAAGTATAAACCTAGCAAGTTTCTGAGCTAAATAATTAGGAACTCGTTTTTGTGAATTTGAAGAACTATGTCGTTGTTGAGGTTCAAAAATACGACGTGTCTGAAGTACTCCTGGTCTCGGCATGCTTTCAACACAAGATATACTCCTGAACAGAATTTAATTCCGTTTGCAGAATTAGAATTAATATAAATTATGTTTATGACTGAACTAAATAATTAAGAACTCGCTTTTGTGTATTAGAAAAACTATGTCGTTGTTGAGGTTCAAAAATACGACATGAAGTGCTCCGCATGCTTTCAACTTAAGATACAAAATTATCGGACTTTACGAACTAAATAAAAGGGAATATTTAAATATCTTAACCTGCTTGAATTATTAACTGTCGTAAAGTAACGACGTGGTGTCAACTGTTGTCCAGATGTCCCCCCAATTTGTAACATCGGCGAAGTATTAACTTCTGAACTATTGCTGTCGCTTTCTCCACTTGTTGTATCTCGAGATAATCGATTTCGAGGTTGATATCTCTCAACCTTGCAATAAGAGATACACATATTTTACACTTACTCTTTGAATACCAAATTAAAAAAACTTACTCGTTTCTGAACTGCGCCTTTTCCTTTTTGATTGCGCGTGGAAAAAGCTAGTGTAAATGAATGCTCAGCTTCATTTTCCGCCTCAATAAAAGCATTATTTACTTCGCTAACTCCAAGACGCGAAAGATCCGGATTACTAAACATCACAACTAATTAATTAATTACGCATTAAGCAAGATACTGACAGCATGATTTACTGCATATATTTTTGCATAATTAAGTGTCACAAAATCCAAACATTTGAAAAAACCAAACCCAACCCAACCTTTTTTATTACCCTACTAATCAAAAAATTTTGAATGACAAGCGGAAAATAATCGAAAATAAAAACTCCAATAGCTTAAATATCATAAATCAAAAGAAGTCTTTGTAAACCTCGCTTTCTTCAAACACTCAATCGTTTTTGCTAAATTTCGCTCGTTTTTTACATCTAACAGACTTCTTTGTTCTTTCAGAAAACCATCAGCATTTAAAGAATCACTCTTTCTTAGACTACTGTGCAAGTTTCCAACGGACCGAGCAATTAAGCGATTTTGTGTGTTTAGACCGCTGCAAATTAAATGGCTCAAAAAATATTCATGATGTAAAATAAAAAATATTAATGGATATTTTTTGCATATAAATAACACATTTAAACATAATTAATACTGATTCTAATTGTCATGGCAGTTTCGATTAAATTTATGCACGCTATCATAAAATGAAGGTTGCTGCTCTACTTACGTCATATATATACATTGAATCGATATAGCTATTTTATTTTCCTCCGCAAGAAAAAAATTTATATGATTTAACGAAAATAATAGGAACAGAATAATTTTTTTCAAGCGCACATTTTTTTTCCAGTTTCTTTTTCGAACTAAAGAAATATCTTTCAAAATTTGCAAACATTTTTCAAAATTTATAACTTTTCTTAATTTGATCTACAAAAATAGTGTCACTGAGAGCACAAAAATTGCTAGTCACTTTCAATAATGAACTCATGAATAAACAATTTTTTTCATGCTACATTAAATCCTTTTCCATAATTCAAGCAAACAGCGAATGATATCAATAGTGATGCATAATTTCTCTCAAAAACAATGCATTCTATGTGAATTATACAAATAGCGAAAACGAATAAACCATGAAAAGGAAAAAACTACGTGCGAATTTCCTTCGTTTTTTCATCACTTATAAGTAAAATTACAGTTTCTAGTTGCTATTTGCTGAAGCTTCCTACACAAATCCAGAAAAACTTACGCTGGAGTAAACTCATTCAATCGAGACAAATAAGATCCACCAGAATCAGCGTTACTGCCAAAAAAAGAACCAAAATCAGATCGATTTGCATTCAAAGGAATAGCGGCTGTCAATCGCAGATTGCCGTATGACCTTGAACGTGAGATAGCGCTTGGATAAGCTGTTGAAAAACTATCATCAACTGGTAACCCCGCCAAATTTTCTTGGGACTTGCGTAATCTGAACAACAAGAAAGAGAAGTAATGCACAATGTATCATCTGTTTTTAAATTTTACGCATTTAAATGTTGCTAGCAAAGAAACTACAACAAACTGAACGCCAAATTTTCATAGAAAATACTGATGTTCAATCCACTATAAACTAAAAGTTCATCTTTTTAGTCTTGAATTTACATCTAAACACATTCCGTACCAAATAAACATGATGAGAGACTGACACGGAGAATGATATAAAGGGAAAAACTTAGTGCATATTTTTTTCTCCTCTGTATATAAGTATGAACACTTTCCAAACAGTGAATACTTTAAAATTGAAAGTAGTATTGATTCTAATTATTAACATTAATTTCATTCCTACTTATTACTACAGTAATATGAGTAAAATTCATAAACAAATGAGGCAATGTATTTTTGTTTATTAAATAAACAATAAAGCTTCCTCAATCTTAGCGAAATAAACAACACGAACTGAAGCCCGAATAAACAGTGACAAGATAAAACTGTTTCAAAGCAATTGCTAAAATTCAATGAATTTTTTTTTGTCATCATTATATTACATTTCATTTTTTGATAACTCTAAAACTGTGAGACTTTACTTTGCAAGCAAGAACAGTCATGGACCGTTCACAGCCATAAAAAAGTACCTATCACGCAATCCTGATAATCGATTTAGCGTTTGCGATGACTGTTGCTTATTAACACTGACTGCTCTAAGATTCGTTCGTGAAGACGATGGTGTTAAGCGGTTGGAAGCCACTGTCAAAACTGAATACATTGACATATCCGAATCCTTTAAGATTGATAAGATATTGAAAACCATAACTTGCAACTCAAGTACACAAATTAAAAAATTTTAAACTGGACAAAACTCACTTGTCTTTGACGCTTTTCGTTTCCCAATACATTAAGAGCAAGTTGAGAGGGGCTTTGACTGCGACTACGCAGATGTAGATCTGATGAAGCATAATCATCTTCTGCAAGAAAAAATTTCAATTTTGTTAAAAACAAACATGAAACCTGAGAAGTTCACGCACAAAATATTAAATAAATATAATTGTTCTATGCGGTACATCTTATGTCTGTGCTACTTACACTTGGAAAACAAGGATCAATGTGAGCTGACAAACTCGGGATTCATTTTCCTTTTCCAAATGTGAATGTACAAAGGAGAAACATGCTGACCCATCATCAACAATTAAGCATGCAGAGAAAGCCCCAGCAGATAATACCTCTAACAGGTAGTGATGTTTGCGACGAAAGTGAATCAAAAGCACCTGCAACTGTCATTCGTCGATTTTTAAAAACACCGCTGATGCCTTGACAACGAGTTAGTGGACTTAAAGTTCGACCTATAGCTGCTGTATTTAAATTATTTTGTTCCTGTTGTTGTTGCTGATACAAACGCGATAGGGTAGCGTGCAAATCGGATTCTGAAAGCAAAGAAAAGCACGGTGCACGTACAACAATGAGAGAAGTGCAGGATCTTGAAGGTCCTCTCTTATTCACAACGTGCATGCCTTTGGAACTGCACCAAAACAAAAGCATCTTGCATGTTGGCAGGGGTGAAACAACACAAACTTGACGCAAATGACGTACGTATATGCATTTGGAACATGACATGAAGAAAACTATATAGGTAAAAATGTCTGTGCATTAAAAGCAATTGGTACATATATGAGTCTTGAATGAGGTGCTTAAAAATTTAACACAAATTGTTACACTGAGAGTGAAATTGTGTCTTCAATATGAAGATTTGAATTTTTTAATCAAAAAAATTTCACCAAATTTTTGAAGCTACAGAATTAATAAATGAAAGGGTTGACAAGGCAGAACACCACGAACTAATAAATTATAAAGATGATTGAAGACAATAAATGCTTGATCATCATTTTCTGACCTTAGACTATTTACTGATCTGTTATAAATTATTGAATATCTGGAGAAATACAAGTCATATTCAGTAGAACTGGCTCAAAATTTAGATAAAAACTGTCAGCAAATCAAGAGTAGCGTTCAATCTCAGTAGTTATCAATGCATTCTAATTTAATGAACTTATACACTGGCACATCGAAAAATGAAGTAGTTACTTCGACGCGTTACAGGAACATTTCGCCCTGATATCGTAGCGTAATGCATACTACTAGTGGATCGTCTGTTACCAATCAAAGGTGGTGTCCAAACGGTTTGTGACTAAAAAATGAGTTCAAAAATAACTTAAAGAACTATGCCTTGCTTCAAAACTCAAAGTTACATAATATTTGTTACGGTTGTTCCAAGTGAGAAAAATTCGTGAAAAGAATGCGTAAAGACAATTTTTAATGACTGAAGAGACAAACTTCACTGCCTCCAACACCTTTAAGACGTTTTGTTAGACTGTATCGCTTCATGTTATCTCGATTAAACGATAAATTAGATGACTGAGGTAATACAGGAGATGAAACTTTCATCGGTGTACTGTATGAGTCAGAAAGAATACAGCTTTTTCGCACAACTTCTGGTGTATAAGAATTCATTTGCTGCTGTAAATCAGCTATTCCCGACGCCGATATGGAATTTGGAACTCCTAAAAATACTCAGTAATTAGATAAAATTAGAGACAATAAAGAGGAAGTAACAAACCTTTGTGAACATCTCGCTCAGAGGTATGAGGCGAATAATGAATTTTAGTACCATTCATTGTCATAAATCCACTTAAGACATTTTCTTTGGATGATGATGGTGTTGAGGATGGAAAGACATATGCTTCATTGCAAGGCATATCCAACGATTGCGATATCAATGAGGTTGCATATACTGGTGCTTCTTAATTGACAACAAATTAGTACATAAATGCATATTCATTTCTTTTCACAGGAAATAAACAAGAAATAAACATGATTTTAAAGTTCGACAGAATTAGCAACGGAAAAAAATTAAAAAAGACATATGTAAAGAAAATGACTACTTCTAGCTGCAAAAAAAGAATGTCATAGGGTACCAGAAAGAGGGCCAACACTTATATCATTCCATTTCTTGCGCTGTTTTCGAGTAAAAGCATTAATATCTGTAGATGTTCCATGATTGCTTTCATTGACAACACCAACATTACTAGTGGACATTACTGCAGCTGTATGATGGGGTTGAGATGGTTGAGATATGCAATGTAAATTTGAAAGTGAACTGCCTGCGTATACACTCTCTTCATTATCAACAGTTGCATTACTAACTGGTCGTTGCTGAGCAAAGTTCATTGCTCCACAAGACATGGCATCAACTGCTGCTGTCGACGATGTTGGTTGCTCATCGCCTGAGAAATCTGAAGAAACAATTATTGCGGTTGTAATTAATTATTTGCACAAATAAGGGACGAAATAAAATTAAACAACAGTGAGAGCGTAAATGACACAAGTAAATGAGCAATACAACAAGAGTAAATTAAGGAATTCAAAGATACAGATGGACAGCAATCAAGTGCAAGAAGTTATTTTACTTCAAGTGACCAAATTTTACTTTTAATATCAATACTGCTTATTTTTTGTAATAAGACAAAAAAGCTGAATTATTTTCTAGCAATTTCTTTTTCTCCCACATATGAATTCATTAAATGATGAATTCGGTGTTTTAACTTTTCTGATAAATTTAAGTGCGAAATGATAAACTATTTGCGACTTAACCCTCTTCGACTCTCTTGTATATCAAAAAACAATAATATCAGTTGACTTTTTTTTAATTCTTAATTTTAATAAAATATATTGCCTAGTACATTCAATATTCACATTTTCATAGACTTTCTTTTTCATTTGCAACAAAAAACAACATTTAATTTTTAAATATCTCACAATTACTTCAATTATTGAGTGCAAAATTACTGAAACAATAATGTAGAGAATCTATATCAAACAC